CTCAGGCACCACTGCCTTATCACAAGGCATGAGACCCAAGCAGGATCAGATGCTACAGGGAGTGGAGCACAGACCTGAGGGTAAAGATATGGAGATTGGGCCCACCCTGGAATCTCTGGTCCCTTCCTGGTTTTGCCTCGTTATCCCTTCCTGGTTTTGCCTAGTTATCCCAAATCAGCAACAAACAGGCCACTCCACGGAGGAGTGACCCCTCCCAAACAGAAGGGGACTATATCAGTGCAGTCTCTGCATAGGCTTGGGGCAGCCCTCCCACTGCCCACCTGTGACTATGCAGGTGCTTCCCTTCACCAACTCTCTCCCTCTGCAGGGCAGAAGCCTCCTGCCTGCCCATGATCTGTACCATGGGTAGGACTTCTGTCTACTGACCTCCCTCAGGGGAGGCAGCTCTCCTCAAGGCCATGTGCCTGCAACCATGCAGGCCTCTCTTAGCAAAACCTGTCCTTTTCCCTTTCTCTAGTAAACCTGTTCTTTAAATATGAATAACATCTCTGTCTCATGGGGAAACTCGCCTCATGCCGCTTGAATGGGAGCTCTGGTGAAACCTTTCCCAGAGTGAACCCAAGGACCCCACACTCTACAAAACTGCACTAAAACTACAAAATACATAAAAGAAGACATAGGTGATAATTTCCCAGACATCAACCACAAAGATATATTTGGGGACACTACTCCAAAAGTGAGGAAAACAAAAGCAAAAATAAATAAATGGGACTATATCAAGCTAAAAGGTTTTGTTATAGGACAGGAAGAGGGGCAGCCCAAACCCCGCAAACCTGCCTATTCTAAATGGGTTCTGCCATCCGCCGCATCAACACAAAACATATGAGACTTTAATGAAAAGGAACTTTAATAAAACTAGGAAACAATACAGGAAAGGCAAAGAGTCTAGTTTCTAAATGAAGCACCCAAAGTTACCCGTCCCCTCGTGGGTAAAAGTCCATCCAAATGGGATTGGTCCAGAACAAGGCCCCAAAGCCTGCCACAAGTCTAAAGCATCTTCCAGTGGGGACCCACAGCAAAGGGTCACAAACAACCGGACAAGCCCGGAAGGAAAAGAGCAAAATCAACATCAAGATAAAAGCTGCCATTGTCACCTCCCCACGGGTCTCACCCACATCTGTGTCACCCAGTCCACGACCAAAAGACAAGCACAGTTTCTTCACGTGTCTCTAGGCTCCATCCTGCTTCCTTCCTTCCTCCGTCTCTTCTTGCAGCTTCTTCTCTTGCTGCTCAGCTCCACCCTCCCTTGGGTGGGGCAGGGAACCTCCCCCTTTCCTGGGGACCACCCTGTTGCAGTTTTTGTACCTCATAAGAAATCATCACAAAAACAAAAAGGTGACATCTAGACTGGGAGAAAATATTTGCACATCACATGTCAGATGAAGAGTTAATTTCCAAAATATATAAAGAACACATCCAACTCAACAACAAAAAAATTGAACAACCCAGTCAGAAAATGGGCAAAAGATCTAAATAGACAGTTCTCCAAAGAACATCCCACAAGCTCATGAAAAAAATGCTCAACATCACTTATTATAAGGCCTATGCAAATCAAAACCACAATGAAATATCATCTCATCTCTGTGAGAACGGCCTATATCAAAAAGATTGGAAACAATAAATTTTGGCAAGGATTTGGGGAAAAAGGAATACCCTTTGTTGGTGAGAATGTAATTTGGCAATCCCGCTATAGAAAATGGTATGAAGAGGGCCTCCCTGATGGCGCAAGGGGTTAAGCAACGCGTTATGAAGCAATCCGCAGCCTCTGCAGCACAAGTTCAATCCCCGGCTGGCCAGAGAGAAAGCCACATGGCGAAGCAGACCTCTCCTGTCTTGCCTGCTGCTCCCCTCAGCAATGTATTTCAGTCAGTCTGCCTGTTCTGTTCCCCACTCCGTCTCTGGTGAATCCTCTCACCCCTCATACCTCTGGCCTGTACGCCAGTTCTTGTATGCATAAATAAATAAATCTTTAAAAAAACAAAAAGAAAATGGTATGATGATTCCTCGAAAAATAAAAATGGGGGCCTCCCTGATGGTGCAAGGGGTTAAGCACCGCACTATTCACAGCCTCTGCAGCACAAGTTGGATCCCCGGCCAGCCAGGGAGCTACCCACATGATGCGGAAGACCTCTCCTGTCTCACCCACTGCTCCCCTCAGCCGTGTGTTTCAGTCAGTTTGCCTGTTCTGTTCCCCGCTCTGTCTCTGGTGAGTCCTCTCACCCCCCCCATATCTCTAGCCTGTGCCCCAGCTCTTGGATGCATAAATAAAGCTTTAAAAAATATATAAAAATAAAAATGGATGTACTGTACGATCCATCAATACAACTGCTAGTTATTTACCTGAAGAACATGAAAACACAATACAAAAATACTGATGCACTCCTATGTTCACAGCACCATTACTTACAGTAGCCACGACATGGAACCAACCTAAAATGTCCACCTACAGATAACCAAATTAAAAAAAAAGTGTGGACTATATACTCAATGGACTATTACTCAGCTATTTAAAAATTATAAAATAGCACTTTTTAGGGCAAATGGATAGATCTTGAGGTGATTATACTAAGTGAGTAAGTGAGAAAATAGTTACCAGATGGTCTCATTCATTTGTGGAATATAAATAACCAAAGAGAACAAACCAACAAAACAATGGGGATGGGGGGAGGGGGAAAGTGGATGGAAAATGACAGGTTTTACTTTTTTTTAAGATTTATTTATTTATTTATACAAGAACCAGGGTACAGGCCAGATGTGCAGGAGGGTGAGAGGATTCACCAGAGACAGAGTGGGGAACAGAAGAGGCAGACTGACAAAATACACTGCTGAGGGGAGCAGCGGGAGGAGACAGGAGAGGTCTGCTGAGCAGGGATCGAACCAGCGCTGCAGAGACTGCGGACAGACAGCGGACAGCTTCACAGCACTGCGCTCAACCCTCTGTGCCACCAGGGGAGACCCAGAAGATGACAGGTTTTAGCCCTCCAAGTCCATCCTTTGGTGGAGAGTGAGTGAGGCAAGTTCATATATGGAGGTATGAAGCTCTACTCTCAAAATCACAGTTATACAAACTAGTAGCAAATCAACAAAATTTTTTTAATTAAAAATGAAATTCCACCAATCTCTTATATACAAAAAATCAACTCAAAATAAATGAAAAACTTGAACATAAAACCTGAAATTATAAACTGAAAGAAAAATAGTTGGCCAGTTCCTTCATATCAATATTGGTGAGATTTTTTTAGAATTTAACACCAAGGGCAAAATGAATACACGGGATGACATCAAACTAAAAAGCTTCAGCACATCAAAGGAAATTGTCATGAAAATGAAAAGCCAATGGGGTCTCTCTGGGGGTGTAAGGGTAAGGGTCAGTGCTATCACCCTATCACCACTGCTGCCTAAGTTTGATCCCCAGCCAGGGAGCTGACATGCATGGCACAGCAGCCCTCTCCTGTCTCACCAGCTGCTCCCCTCAGCAGTGTATTTCAGTAGATCCGCCTGTTCTGCTCCCCACTCTTTCTCTGGTGAATCCTCTTACTGGCCCCCCGCACCTCTAGCCTACACCCCAGTTCTTCTATGCACAAATAAATAAAAATAAATTTTAAAAAAAAGTTACCTTTAAAAAAATGAAAAAGCAATGTACCAAATGGAAAACATATTTTACAAATCATGTACCTGATAAGGGGTTAATATCCAAAAAAATATAAAGAACTCACACATTTCAACAGTAAAATGAAACAATCTGATTTTAAAAAGAGCAGAGGATCTGACAGACATCTTTCCAAAGACACACAGGTGACCAACAGGTGCATGTAGAAGTGCTCAATATCACTAATCAGGGAAATGCAAATAAAACCACAGTGATCTATCCCCTAACACCCATTATAATGGTTAGCATCAAAAAGAGAAGAAACCACAAGTGTTGGCAAAGATGTGGAGAAAAGGGAACCCTTGTGCACTGTTAGTGGGAACATAAACTGGTAGAGTCACTATAGAAAACAGTATGGAGACTCCTCCAAAAATCCAAAAAAGAACTACTATATGATCCAGCAATTCCTGAGTATTTCTAGGTATAACAATTTCTTAGTATTAATTCAAAGAAATGAAAACACTAACTTGAAAAGATATGCACACGCCCATGTTTACTGTGCCATTGTTCGCAATAGCCAAAAAATAAAACTCAAGTGTCCATTATCAAAGGATGAATGAATAAAGAAGTTGTGAAATGTATAGATATAGTCACCATGGAATATTCCTCAGCAATAAAAAGGAATGAAATCTTTGCCATTTGAAAGATCATAGATGAACCTTGAGGGCATTATACTAAATGAAATGAGTCAGGCAGAGAAGTACAAACACTATATGATCTCAATTATATGAAAATCTCAGAAAAAGAAAACTTCATGAACACAGACTGGTGGTTGCCAGAGACCGGGGGTGGAGAGTAAAGGAAATCCATGAAAGGCATCAAAAGGTACAAACTTCCAGTTACAAAATAAATTACTCCTGAGGATGTTATTGTGAGTAAGGTGATTCTAACTAATAACATTGTGTTGTATATGTCAGAGTTGCTAAGAGAATAGATATTACAAGTTCCTATCACACACATGCAGGTAACTGTAATGATGGATGTCAACTAAACTTATTGTGATAGTCATCTGACAATATATAAAAATATGAAATCGTTATGTTATACACCTGAATATATGTTGTATGTCAATTACATCTCAATTAGAGGGGGGGAAAAAAGAGAAGGAAGTTTTTTTACCTCAACTGGAAACAGGCACATTAGTTAACCAGTGCGGACAACATTCTCTATAAATTTCTGCAAGATGGCAAAAGTGTTTCAAGTGTTAACTTCAGGTAACAAATTTTAAGAAGCCAAACACGAAAATACTGATCTACAAATAATGAGGACCCACTGTGTATTTGTCATGTTAAAAAACAGAAAATATTTAATAGCCGATTGGCTTGATTTATAGCTTTTACACAAATAGGTATGTGAAACTGGGGCTTAAATTTGACTCTTACCCAGCCCCATAGATGTCAGGAGTAAGCCTGCTCCTCATCCAAAAGAACAGTCCAGGACAAAAATGTGATGAACCTACGTAGAGTTTTTGGTTAGTGCCTTTTTTTAATCCATACATTTGAGGGCATATAACATCATTTTTTATCTCCTGTTTTTAATTCCTTCTTACTCATAAATCAAAGCCCTGTGCTTAGACATACACACACAAAGCCCTGCAGCTTACTTTACCCAGAATAGAAACCTAACTTAGAAAAATCTAATCCATATCCCATCTCATTACTATATCAGGACCCATTTCCTCAGGCCACTATGCTAGGCTAGATGAGATAAGAAAATGTTGATCACATAAATTTTTTTATGATAGTAGAATGTTCAGTTCTGTTAAACTATGTCACGGTGCTATCACAAGTGATAATAAGCCTCAGCTAAGTTTAGTAATTTTTTTCTGGAACACTTCTAAATAATAGCTCAGTAAAGATTTTTTTAGACATGGTAGCGATCTTTCTGGAAGCTGTTTGAGGGTGATACAGAGATTTCAAATCATATCATCAAATTTCTGTTCCACAGGATACTTTATGTATTAATGTGATCCTCACTAGTCAGCCAAAACTGTCATTAGGAAGAACAGGAGACATCCCCTTTGTCCTGAAAGAGAATGGACAGGCCATTACTCAGGGGGAAGTACAAATATCAAAGGTTAGAAGCTATGGGGGTGGACCCAGACCACAGCTCTGCTGGGCCAAGTTCACTGTGTTCTTGGAAAAGCAGGTCCACACAAAAAGGAAACTGGATCAAAGCTAAGGGCAAACAAGGCCTAACAAAGGAACAGTGCTTGTGGGGAGGAGGAGCTGAATGAATCTAGAAATAAGGAGTTGAAACCCACCTCTTCTAGAAAATACTTCCTCCCAGTTCCAAGCCTCTGGGAAATTAACTTTTCCTTGGAACACCAAAAACAATGGCTTATACACTTTGAAATCTCTCAGCTACAGATAATTTTTAAAAACTGGAACCTAGTAATTGCCAGCTTTTCGCTTTGCTGATTGACTGGGTACAACTTATAAGTTAACATTTGCCATTATAATTTCATATAAGAAATACTATTTTGACATAAGTAGAAAAATGTAATTACCAAATAAAGGAGAGACTTTCCCAACATAGAAAGACTCTGATGTTGACACTTTGCGGCATACCAGTTCAGACATCACCGTGGACCATTTCACTCCACATGAGAGAAGATGACCTGGTCTTTGTGACATGAGAGTCCATTCAAAATGGTCCTTCAGGGATTGAGGCATAGGCAACAGTTATAGAGAAATGACGAACAGCCATGAAAGCCTTAAATAGAGCTTCCTAAGTGACATCTGATAGAGAAACTTTATCACATTCATAGCCCCAGCTGGGTTCCCTGCCCGGGAATCACTGTCCAAAGTCCTTCCCATTTGTTGGTGTCTGGCTGGTAGCTACAGCGGAATGTCTTTGTGGCATTAAACTAAGGTGTCATCTGGGAACAGAACTAGCAAACGTCTCCTGCAATGAATGCTATCTTTACCTAAAAGGGCATGATAACTGCTTAATCAAAGCAGGAGGAAAGACCTAGGGATCAAATCAAGGTAAGAATAAATATGAGGGGGGGCAAGTTTGGTACCTACTCATAGCAATGGATATGGACAAAAGGAACCAAAGAACAAGGTTTGACAAATGTTAATCCTACCTGGTCAAAAAGAAACACAGTCGAGACATGGAAATGGCTAGGTTGATGGCCGGGCACATGAAGATAATCTGCTCTCTCAGCCTCTCCTTTGCTTTGATTCAAAATTCACCAGGCAGAATGCTGGTGACGGTTTTCATTCCCTATCCTGTGAGGAGAAAATGCCCTGAATACAGACACAAATATTAGGACAAGTATGTCCTCCTCTGAAAAATCAAAAAATTACACAGAAATCTGTTAATTTCAGCCAGGGGGACTGGGCAGTCTTGTATACTCTGGAAACAGACAAAACCAAGTTTCTTGACCTGTAAGACTGGTGACAATTTGAGGGTCCCACAGAGAAATTTGAGTATTCAAGCAGCCCCTCTCTTGCCTTTTCCAGCAGCATCCTCTGATCATCAGTACACATTCCTCAGTTACCCTGTCTATATACTACCCCACGTTACGGCATGGTGTCTTAAATTTCCAGTTTTCTAAGTAAAGCATGATCTGGTCCTTCAAGTGTTTATTGAAGTAAATTATAAGGTAGATGGAGATAATAACATCTAAAAGAAACTTCTTATAGCACCACAAGAAGATCTGGATAGAGGCAAAGAATTTGAAGTAAATAAGTAGGAAATATTATAAGATGAAAAGAGTTTGAATAATGAGACCCAGGTTCCAGCACCAGTTCTACTACTTGCAAATTACTTTCTCTGTATGTTCTCATCTTCCCCTGTAAATGAAAGGATCATCTAGAATTTTCAGGGACTTTAGTGAATCTTTATATAGGCTGCTGAGCTTAAAAACTAGTGTTAACAATAAACTATACAAATACCAAAATCTATCTCTTTCAATCCGGTGCTTTTAGAGAAAGATAGAGTGATTTAGTTCTATGAGAGGAACTTCAGGCCTTCTCCTCAGCCTCAAGTCTCTACTGGACAAGAGACATGAGTATATGAGGACTAAAGGTAATAGATAATTGATCCCACTGAACTTCCCCAATGGGATATAGTCGAGGTGACAGCAATGAATGGTCACCTGAACAACTGCAACAGTGTTCAAGAGACACTGTCCAAGAAAAGTTAACCTCAAATGAGATAAAATTCAAGGCAGGATGAAACTGAAGTCTTCAGACACACAGTCACACCCTGTGATCTGCATCCTGGCCAGTTACCCTGGGGCCACTTCCAACCTTGTGATTAAGAACCTCAAAGTGCATGGACAGTGATGGAACAATCCCATCACTCTAGCCAATAACTTCCAGTTCCCTCTGCACTAAATCCAAAGCCAAAACAAAAACATGCTCAGGCAGCCAGTCATTTCCATTGTCAGACATCTTTTTAAGATTTATTTTTATTTATTTATGCATACAAGAACTGGAGCCCAGGCCAGAGGCACAAGGGGTGAGAGGATTCATCAGAGACAGAGTGAGGAGCAGAACAGGCGGATCTGCTGAAATACACTGCTGAGAGGAGCAGCAGGCAAGTCAGGAGAGGTCTGCTGTGCCATGTGGGTAACTCCCTGGCCGGGGATCGAACTTGTGCTGCAGTGGCTGGTGATAGCTTGCTAGGCGCTGAGACTATAACCCCTGTGCCACCAGGGAGGCCCCTGTCAGACATCTTTAGCTATAAAATATTTCTTAATTTCTTATCAAAAATGTCAAATGTATAGAAGAATAGAGGAGATGGAATCATGAGCTCACACACTGTCATCTGAGTTTTAAAATTGCTAGTATGTTGCCATCTCAGCTTCTTTTAGTTTTCCTCTGTTAAAGTATTTTAGAGTAAATAACAGATATTACAAATCCTCACCGTTGCATCGAGACAACACCACACTGACAAACAGGAGTAGTGGAGCAGGCTACATAATGCAGGATGCTGCTGAAGAGCAAGATCCTTGCCCTTTTATTGACACATGTAATTGGTTTTAAGAAGATAAGGGAGACTAAGGAAAGGGGAAGGGTGTAGAAGATTAGGGATTGTGAGTCTGCCCTCCAGGCACTTCTAATCTACTTGATGCTACACCCTAATCCCCAGCCATGGTTCTAATCTTATCAACGAGGCTCTCCACTGATCAGCTTCTGGGGTCCCTTGTCATACATCGGTCCTCAGCCCCACCGGGCATTCCCGGTCATACCTCGTGATGTATAAATCGTATAAATCGGGAGTATATGTTATGCATCGGTCCTCAGCCCCCTGGGCATACTGGACATACCTTGTGATGCATATGTTATGCATCTGGTCCTCAGCCCTCCGGGTGTTCTGGACATACCTTGTGATGCATAACCTTCCCAGTGTGATCCAGCTTTGTGCTCTTGTTTGATCTGAAGGGCTCAAGGGTTTGGGCTCCTGTTCCTAACTGGCCGGACCACTTTGACCTTGTTTAGGTGACAAAATGGTAGCCGAATAGGCTGCCTAGGAGTAGCAGACCCACACTCACCCATATATATCTTAGTATGCATCTTTGAAAAGGACCTGTTTCTGTAAACTCACACTAGCATTTTTCACACTTAACAAAATTCATAATATCAAAATTTCCAATATCACCTAATACCTAGCCTATATTCAAATTACTCAGTTATGTCCAGCCCCCCAAAAAGCACCTGGTTTATTCAAACCAGTGTCCAGAGCATTACAATGCATTGCATTTGGTGGATGTGTCTTTGAAGTCTCCTATTAAGTAAGAACAGTCACAGCCTTCTTATTTACTGAAGAGACTAAAGTAATTATCATCTTATAGAACAGTCACATGTGGATTTGTCTATGATTCCTTGTGGCATTATTTAAGTTCATCTGTATCCTCTATGTTCCTTATAAACTGAAGTTAGGTCTCTATGTTTAGTTAGATCCATTTTAGGCATGGCCCCTTCATTGGGGATGCTGTCTGCAGCACCATGCATTGCATCAGGACACCACACGTAGCATCTAGTTATGGCACCACTGGGGTGCTGATCTGATCATTGTGTATGGGGTGACTCTGAGATCACCACTGTATATTTATATTTTTCCCCGTTGGGACCAGCTTTAGGTCTAGACAGTGGTATTTTATGACTATCCACTTACTCAATTCTGTTTTTTAGCAGGTTCAGTAAGGAAGAGGTGTCCCCTAAAAACCACACCATGTAGTTGTCCTATCACAAATCCCTGTTATACTTGATTGTTTTCCCTTTGATTTCTAAAATTCAGAGCAAGAAGTAGCTATAGTAGTCACCCCTGATGGTTAGTAAGCAATTTTTACTTTGGGGTCTTTCTTAGCATAGAGATTCATTGATTTTTGTGTTTTAATCATTTATAGTCATTGTTCTTTTTAATCTTCAATTTGTCCCAGCTTTGGCCAGTAGGAGCCCTCCAGGCTGGCTCTTGTGTCCTTTTGACATGATCCCATTCATGTTTGCATGTTACTTGCTTTTGTGAAACAAGCTATTCCGAGTTTACCTTAAGCATCCTCTGCCACAGACCTGAAACCAGCCACCTTCCCCAGCTATTTGCTCCTTTTAATGGGAAATGGTATTATTGATAAACCAAATCTGGCCACTAGGTGTCCTCCGATTCTGGGACATCGCTGAATATTACACCTCTCTTTTGTCTCTCTGTCTCTCTTTGTCTCTCTCTCTTTCTGTCTGTCTCTCTCTCCTGCACCCCCCTTCTGAGTCCCACAACCACTCTTAGATAGTTGCATGGCTGTAATTTAGGCACTTAGGCTAGTGCTGTTCTAAACTGGATTCCCTGTTTTTCAGATCCTGTACCGTCCTCAGTTTTTGCTCTCTCGCTTCGGCAAAACACATTCTGTGGCAAATTACTGATAAAATACATACAGTAGGTAAATCTTTTGAAACCTTGCATGTCCAAAAAAATAAAATCTTTCTAACTTCACACTTGATCAAATATAGAATTCTAGGCCAAGAAAACATTTTCATTTAAAATTTCTATTTCCTACAGGCAAAACACTACATGACATACACCTCAGTAACAGCTTTAAAGACACATCACCCAAAGCAGTGATAGTGACAGCAAAGATAAACAGCTGGGGCTACATCAAATTAAAGCGTTTCTGCACAGCAAAAGAGACAATAACCAAAACAAAGAGACGCCCCACCTACTGGGAGAACATTTTTGCACCCAACATTAATGATAAAGGACTGATCACAAGAATCTACAAAGAGCTGATGAGACTCAACAAAAACAAAGTAAATAATCAGTCAAAAAATGGGCAGGGCCTCCCCAGTGGCACAGCGGTTGAGCGCTGGGTTACGAAGCTGCCCGCAGCCTCTGCAGCGCCGGTTCAATCCCCGGCTGCTCCCCAGCCACCGGCGGAGGGTTCCACATGGTGTGCAGACGTCTCCTGCCGCCCACTGCTGCCCTCAGTAGTGTACCTCAGTCCTTCTGCCTGCTCTGCTCCCCGCTCTGGTGAATTCTCTCACCCTCCCATGCTTCTGACTATATCCAGTGCTTGTATAAATAAATAAATAAATAAATAAATCTTTAAAAAAAAAAATGGGCAGAAGAGCTAATAAGAAACTTCTCCAAAAGGAAATGCAAATAGCCATAGGCATATGAAAAAAATGTTCAACATCACTTGTAATCAAAAAAATGCAAATCAAAACTAAATGAGATACCAACTTACACCAGTGAGAATGGCACATATTAAAACAATAACAAATGTTGGCGAGGATGTGCAGAAAAAGGAACTCTCCTGCACTGCTGGTGGGAGTACAAAGTGGTCTAACCACCATGGAAAGCTGTGTGGAGATTCCTCAATCTGCTAAAGATGGATCTTCCATATGATCCAGCAATTCCACTCCTAGGTATTTACCAAAAGGACACAGAAACATTAATTCAAAAGGGCACCTGCCCCCTATGTATATAGCAGCACTATTTACAATAGCTAAGCTTTGGAAACAACCCAAATGCCCAAAATAGATGACTGGATCAAGAAGATGTGGTTCATATACACCAAGGAATATTATTCAGCAATCAAAAAAGATAAACTCATTCAATTTGCAGCAACATGGATGAAGCTGAAAGGATCATGCTCAGCGAAATAAGCCAGAAAGAAAAAGAAAAATACCAGATGGTCTCATTCATTGCAGGAATTTAGAAAACCTAAATAAGGGACCAGGAAAAAGACTAATTATAATTATAATAAAGTAAAAACCAAAATC